GAGGCAGGCATGACGTTCGGCTGTTCTGAATGAGATAGGCAGGTGGCCAAACTAGAGCGGGGTCCTGTAAACACAAACACAAACACACCAAATAATGCTCAGCAGTTTTTTTTTATTTTTGCTTAATGGGCTGGAAACCAAAGGGGAGCTTAGTGCTAATTTTACGCTTTGTTTATTCTAATTCTATTAGAGTGGTATCTTTCATGTTTTCTATTAGTTGCGCGTGGGTTCTCCGACTAAATCCCTTTTAACCTCTTCAGTCTTTGTCTTCAGATACTCCCACCTGCATATCTTCGCTCATTGTTCTCTTTCTCTGTCTTTGTCTCATTCTTCATCTCCATCATTTTGTCTTGCAGCGCAGCCAGGAGTCCCGGCCAGAATTCCGAGCCCTAATGGACAATGGAATCGTTTTGACAGGAATATTAGAGAGAACTGTAACAAGGCAGCAATCTTAGAAAATATGATTGGGCGAATAAAGCATCAGTGCAGTGGAGGATGAAGAAGGAATTCAAGGAGAGACATAGGAGGAGTTCATTTGTTTACCCATAATTCCCCTTTTTCATTTCCTCCTTCACTAAGCATTAGAAGACTGAAGCATTCCCTCTTTTGCATTCTAGTACTTTCTCACTTTTTTTCCCCCCAGATGAACACGTTGTTGCTTCAAGGTGGCTCTTTCAAAGTTCATGATTTACAGGAATACTTCACCCATAAATGTAAATTCTGTCACAAGTTACTCACACTTTCTTTCTTCTGCACTGCAGAACATAAAAGAAGATAAATGAATCAGTGTTTTTTGTCCATACAATGGTAGTCAATGGGCTCCAATGTTGTTTGGTTCTCAATGCTTTTCAAAATATGTTCTTTTGTGCTCAGCATTGGAGAAAAATGGATACAGGTTTTGGAACATGAGGTTTTGTAACCCTTTATTGGAGTTACACATTAATGTGAGTTACGTAATAAGACTATTGTACTTTTTTCAAGTAAACCCCTGTAAAGTTTAGTCTGCAATCCACCTTATTTTTCAACATGTAAGTAAGATCTCAGATTTATTAGCCACACAGAGTGCAGTAAACTTTAAAACCGTCTGCGCTAAAAACCAGCGTGTTTATAATTAAGACACTACATTAAAATAATATGGTAATAAAAACAGTTTGCAACATCAAGCAGCATAACAAGCTGTTTTGTACAGCTAAAAATAACTGGAAGCCAAACACATTCAAATTACAAATGGTCGCGCCTGCTTATATCTGAAAAATAAGGTGGATAGTTCTGTATCCCAAACCAGGAAATGTGAAAAGGGTCCATTTGTACTTAGTTTAAATAGACAAAGTCTTTACATTTGCAGTTAGTTACTGCATGTGCAGCTTTAAAAGAAAATAACCGTCCTATCAAAAAAAAAAAAACAACTAAATGTGCAAGACTTCACATAACATCTTCAGTATACCTACTAGAAACTTTAGCCGCTTTTCCACCGGCGGGCCGAGCTTAGACTGGTAAGGACTGCACTGCACTGCAAATTCGAACTTTACATTTTTATCTTTAATACTATCTGCCCTAGTGTATGTCTTACTTCCACGTCTCTGTATCTCTCTATATACGGTCTCCTCTCTCTGGCCACTCGTTTAATCTCCCTGCTCCTTTCTGTCGCTTTCCTCTTTCCAGTTTTCCCTTATCGCAGTAACACATCCCTGGCCTAAAATCCCTCCCAGGCTCACTTGCAGCCAAAGCCTTTTTTAACACTGACTTCCCCACACCTGCCAGGACTGTCACAGAGGCAAACCCCCTGACTTTATTCACTCACACGCTCACACAAACTTGCATGATCGTAGTATAGTCGACCTGAGGTACACACAAACGAGTCCAGGAAGCTGGATTGACATCAATACAACTGTGCTGGCTTTTCCCAGTGTCTGATCACAGATCCAGATCTGAACAGAGCATACACACAATCACCTGGCCACCAAGCAGCTTGGAAATAGCGCTTCAAACATTTTTAACTGTAACAGGAAACATGAAGTTCACATCACTGGAAAACCTGATTAGTTGAGATTATGTATGACAGTTTGATTCTGTCATCTTTTACTTAGGTTCATGTTGTTCCTGTAAGCAGTTATATTTGCAGTCAAAAACAGATAAAGAATCTTTACACAGCTTTTAAAAACAAAGAAAAAAAAACTTGTTTCCAAGTCCTCTGAACAGAAGTGTGATGAACAGGCAGAATTGAACTAATAATCTTCTCTATTCAGATTAAAAAAAATGTTGTTACTTATGTTCTCTAAGGCCATGTGTCCACCAAAGCGTTTTCCCACACGCCTGCCGTATGTTTTCAATTGTTTTCAATGGGAGCGCCACGTTTTTTAAACGCCATGAGTGTAACGAGGCGCTGAGCATTTTTTTCACGCTGAAGCGTGAAAATGTTCAACTTTGGATAAAACGCAGCGCTCATCACTGTCACTTCTTACCCAGCCGTCCAATCACAGTGGAGGAGGGGCGGGACTATTTCCACACTGACCAACTGTCACAACATTCTTTCTGTACAACGACATCAACCAGCAGAGCTAACCGAACAAAATGGATGAAAAATTATTTTTTTAGTATGAAACAAATTATCTGCGAAATCAGTAAACATAAGTAAACTGTGCTGCGAATATTCTGTATCATAGCAACGAAACGTCTCAACGGAAAAAAACGCTGCGCTGCCAAAACGCTCTCAAGCGCCCAAAGCACGGCGTCTTCAGCAGAGCGTCTGGCAATTTCAGCTGGCTAAAAACGCTTTGGTGGACACACGGCCTAAGCGATGTCGGGTGACGTTACTTCTTGTTGACGTTTAAAGTATTTTCAAACAAAATGGAGGCTAGATAGACCCTCCCTCCTCCTCATCTGCACTGACCCCCCAACCCCCACCCCCAGGGCCTTCTTGTCAGTTATTGGCTGGAACAGTTTGTTATGTTTCATGGAGCGGGTTGCCGCAGTTTGTTTGGTTGCCATTTGTGGAGCCTGGGTTGTCTGCATAGGGGACAGGCAGCTAGCGGATAGTGCAAAAAAAGTTTTGGCCTAAAAAAAACATGTGACATCACTTAGAGCACCTTTAACAAATAAAGCAAATAAATATTTATGTAAATAAATGCATCATAGTATAACATATAGCTAAGTGTTGCATGTTAAATACATCAGGGTGACGGAAATTGTGTTTTTGCATAAGCAATGACATGTTTTGACTATTTGTGCACATACTGTGTGAGGGAAGCAATATCTACAGTATCTACAAGGAGTGACAGCTTTCTTATAAATAATCCAACTCAGAAGTGTTTAAACTCACATTCAGCCAGAACACAGGCAGATATTTAGAGCCTGTACAGCAAGATTATCTATGAATAAGACATTCTGTTCTGTTCCTTTAACAAACCTAACATAGTTTTGGAATATAATGATTTAATGCATGAGACATTTTTATGTTGTGTTTTTTTTTTTTCTTTCTGTTGTCCTGTTTGGAGCTTGACAGTCCCTGGTGACTATGAACTGTCATTGTATGACAAGAGCTTCTAAAAAACCTTCTACTTTTGAGTTCTATGGAGAGAAAAAAATACAGCATGTGTGTCTGAGGCTGAGTAAACAATGACAGAATTAAAATCTTTGAGAAAACTATTCCTTCAATTTACTAATGTATCATGTGACGTTTCAGGTGATGCGAAGATGCCCACAGGCGAACAGTGCCACTCAGAATCTCTATCAGTGAATGAGTGCGGTCTCATGGGGCTCCCGCGTGTAGCATGCACCACACGGCATGTCAGCGTAAATCACACTCTTTTCTCTGATCGGTGTCTCGCGCACACGCACGAATGCAAGACGAGGCACAGATTGTGATGGGGCTGATTCAACATTGACTCACATCGCCTATACAGCACCGACTCTCATTTTGGCCTTTTGTTGAGGCTTTTTTTCTTCCAATGGATCAGATTTTCTCATGACACCTGACGAAATGAGTAACCTGCCCCTCCTACACCAGAGCATCATCTGCTCTATGAGGCGTCTTCTGATCTCTACCCACCTTCTATGAGCCCGTGCCCACACACAGGACCGTAGCTAGAGGATTCGGGGCCCCCCTGAACAAATATTAATGTGGGCCCCCACCACCCTTCACCAATTTCATATACTGTACTATAGATTAGCATGGAGGCCCACATATAACAAAAGAAAGGGCATGTTGTAAAACCTTGATTTTAAAAGTTAAATGTTTATATAAAAACTACAACTAATAAAAAACTAACAAAAAGCAAGAAATTGTTAAATAATGATAAAACCAATTTTTTTAAAAAGTAATAGCTAAATAATGTTTTTTTCTTCCCCATCAGTCTGTTATAATTCATATATCAAAAAGTAAACATTTAGAAATTGACAAGAATGCAGTCAAAAAAAAAAAAATATATATATATATATATATATATTGCTTTATTTTTAGTAAAGATCATACTGAACTGGTAATATTATTAAATAAAGATAAAACATTTTCTTATTCCCAGTGAAATAACAATACTTGTTGAGCTGGGATACCATAACTCTCCTGGTCCCCTCTCCTTCTTTTCATGGTGTTTATGGAACCCTGATTTAAGTTTTCTTATCCCCGACAGCTCTGCCCACGCACACAAACTTTTCCCTGCTGAAAAGACCAGCGATGGTTACCAGAATATACTGTTTTTTGGATGCAGGTCAACACTATTGTGCTGCAGTTCCCACCAGGCTTCTTAACTAGCTTAGCCAGCAAGACTTTCTTGTTCAGCCTGCCTCAAACAGAAAGACTATGCTGGTCGACAACCTACTGTAGCCATATTTAGCTGACAGCCAGCAGCCGAGTTTGTGTCCAACATGTTTTATGAATTTTGGGATATTGCCTAAAAATACAAATAAAAACCCAGCACCAAACTGGAAATTCATGCTGGCTTCAGATCGGCTTTTCAACAAGGTTTTCTCCCTTTCGCATATGTCCTGTGCATTCTTCTCACCTTGTTCAGAATGATCACGGCCTCTTGGTTGGCTCCGGTGATGTTAAAGGTGTCCCCTGACTCTCCGTCCAGGATGGTGTACTCCAGCTTGGCATTGTCTCCCAAGTCAGCATCTGTTGCTGAGATCCGACCCACCTCCGCCCCTGGCATGGCCAACTCTGACACAGAAAACAGCCAGGAACCTGAGATAGGAAAAAGATTTGGACATGAGAGACGGGATGAGAATGAGACATGGGCAATCATTTATCATCCTCATATTTGATTTATGAAAAGCTTTAAACTGAAGCTTCTCATATTTCACTGTATTTCAATAACAAGTGTATCCTTTTTGAGTTTCTCCATTAGACTTTGGCTGTTGATTGATTGCGCAAAACTGGTTGTTAGCGAAGATTTTTCGTCAATGATGACAAAAATTCACATCATGATGATAATTCATTTGGGAACACTTTACAATACGGTTTCATTTGTTTCATCTGTCATCATTAGATGTGTACGTTTTAAAAATCAGCATTTACTATTTAATTTTATATTATTATTATTATTATTATTATTGGCTATTATTGGCTTATTTTTTTCATTGTAGAGCTAATACATTTTTTTACAAAATTTATTTATCTTAGTTGTTAATCTCAAGCGTTACTAATGCTTTTTTAATATCAAAAGTTGTATATTAACATTGCACTGTGAACTAACGTGAATATTTGTATTAACTAAGATTAACAAAGGTGAATAAATGCTGTAAAAATGTATTGCTCATTATTCGTTTGTGTTAGTTAATGCTTTAACTATAACAAATAGAGATCTTACTGTAAAGTGTTACCAATAATTTTAATTAAAACATGAAAAAACAGGAAAAAAAATCACAATGCAAGATATTACAGTAATACACTAACATTGTTTTTTGAAGAAAAAAAGTCTAAAAACAATCTTGTTTCTGAAGCTAAACAGTGAATGGACACTGGGAAATTAAAGTGCTTTGCGAGTGGGTTAAATATAAGCAAAGACAGAATGTTATAAAACAATGATAGGATTTTAATGTGACATATTGAGAAAAGTCGAGAAGGAAGGAAGGATAAAGAAAAATGATGGTCTAAAACAAGATATCTGCCTTCATCAGAGTTGTATATATAGTGAACATTAGTTCCAAATGTCACAACCCAGGACATTACACAGTACATCTCCATTAGACACCTTATATTCGTGACACAACAAAACAACAGCCTGTGATGAAAGTCAAAGCTAATAACCATCTCCGTATATCAACCAACTGCACCAAAATGTGCAGAAATATAACACCAGCCTTTCAAATCACTCCCTCGGTAGTGTGCATTAGTTCTGCATTTTTAAGGGCTTTGAAATTCAGCACAGACTGACATGTAGTTGATGTCCTGCAGTTCTTCGATGAAGGTGTGTTGGCTGATGGGGAAAAAGTCTACGTTACAGCAAGTGTGTGAAGATTCGTCTACAGAGTGGACACCGTGTCATTGCTCGGACTTCAAAACGCTCTGTCACTTCTGTCAAGCAAATGCACGAAATTCCACTCAGAAGATGTCGTCTGCGATTCGGCCCACTTAAGGCAAAATCGGTAGTACCCCAGAGTGCAGTCTGGACGATGGGGTGGGGTGACACATTAGGCGGGGCGAACCCCAGTTTAATTGGATTGCAATACCGCAATCTTATTGGTGTAGACGATTCTGGTCTGTCAGGAAATGCCAAGATGCAAACGAAATTGTAAAAATTCAAACATATATATATGCACTGTTAAGGTGGACATATTTTATTTGATTCAATTTTTATAATATATATATTTTTATTTGCAATAGAAATTCATAAAAAAAAAAATCCTACAAATAAATAAAACAAATACATTTTCAGTGTGACTCTTTTGGCGAAAGTCAACTTTGCGCCATTTTTAAAACAATAAAGTTGTAAATATGGATATTTTTCTATATCGCATCGCTTTCTATATTGAACACATCGCTTCAGTTTAGAAGGTCTTTATTAACCCGCCAGAGACGTGTGGAGCACTTTTATCACAGATGGATAGGGTTCGATGGAATTCCAAAAAAATATACCCATTGAATTTCATTATAAAACTCTGATTGTATTCGTCTGAAAGAAGAATGTCATGTCACCTAGGATGGTAAATCATTGGCTAATTATAATTTTTGGGCAAACTACCTCTTTAATAAATATGTCTGTCTATGTAGTAGAAAGGTGATTTTAAATCGGTGCTAAACATGTCTAGAGAAAATAGATTAAAAAAAGCTGTAGAGTTCCCTTTTGCCAATGAAATTAAATGATATCTTAACACTGAACAAACTCACTTCAAACAAGCAAACACACAATGACAGCTATACCTGTCACCTCAGAAATCACAAATCAGGACAGAAGAAGAGCAGGGAAGCAAACGGGTGCTCATCTTTTTCCGAAGCAGCTTTAGTCGGCCAATCACACAGCATGAAGGGACGAGATCAATGTTCTGTGACTTCGAGATAGCACTCCCCGTGCACTGGGTGACAAGCAAAGTGCCACCGCAGCGCCTGCTCGATCTCACTTCAAAAGCACCACCTTTACACTCGGCCTCACCTCTGCAATGAGAGAGCCTGCTAGTTTTATTCTTTTAATTCATTAAAGCCACTCTAATGGGGCTGGGCTTCCCAGGGACAGAAAAGGGATTGGCTGGTTTGAGTCAGTGCCCAATGGGAGATTAAGAGGAGAGTATTTAGAGCTTTTCAATGATAGGCAGATGGAGTTAATTAGCAGGTCTGTGGATGAAAGCAGGTTCAGCTCAGTAAATAACATGGACAATTACCTCAGGTCCTCTGAGCGAGATGTGTGAGACTCAGTGTGGGCAAGACTACATGTGGGCAAGCAAAAAATGGATTTTGAAAAGAAACCGATTTAAGCGCTACAACGAGTTTTTGATGGATGAATAGATACAGAGGACTGTTTTGTTTGTAAATAAGGGGAAAACAGCTTGATTCAAAGATGTAGTGATTACAGAGCTGAATAGAAATGCGAAGGAAAGAAGAGGGAACAGGCGGGAGTCAAAAAGAAAGTAAAATCAAGAGAGAGTGAGAGAAGGAAAGGAGAAAATAGAGGGCTTATCTATGGATGAGGCTTTATGTTGCAGTAGAAATGAGACCTCTGAGATGGGAGAGTCATTAAAAAAGTGTCTAGCTGGCTAAAGCTCAAGCGCTGGTTGAAAATTAGATTGAATAAAATCTGCATCCTTTTAAGACGTCCATCACTGTGGCACTTATGGAGGCAGGGTGTATAATGAACGATGTGGAGAGAGAATTGTCCCAGAGCATCCCACCTCAACATCAGTTGCCCTGTCCCTTTACCGTTTTGGAGATCAACTCTGATGGTAGATGTCATAGTTACACCATCTGGATCCTCCCATAGGGTAACAACAAGGAACCATGAGAAGGGGTGAACAGTTTCTTCTATAATCAAAGACTGATATAAAGCAGAAATATATCACACACTTTAATTAACACATGCACAATATAAGCGCAAAATTTTATATTTGAAAATATTTATACATAATACAAAAATAAATTAATGAAAAAAAAATAACTATAAAAAATATTGATATACTTAGACGTCAAATATAAGTTTTGTAAACAAATCGACCATAATCAGCCTAAATAAAAAAGCCAAATCGTGAGCTTAGAATTATAAGATTCTATCTCTGTTTAGGGTAGTTCTGAGATATTTAGCATCAAAGTTTTTACATCACAGCTGGCAAAACTGTTATGTAGTATAATCCTCTATTATAACTTTATCTATTAATCTTTTCTTGTTTTTTTTTTTGTTTTTTATTTTTTTACAAAAATAACACCACACAGCCATTAATAAACACCTAATGGATCAGATTACCCAGCTAACAGGGAACGTTCTCAGAACTTTGGCTAACATTCCCTAGAGGTTTGGTTAATGTTTTAAATAAAACATTTGAATGCAATGTTTAAAGAATGTTTTAAGGATGTTTTCTCATTTCAAATAATGTTCCTATAAGGTTAAATGTAAACTAAGATATAACATTTTCACTGTAACATTTTGTGGATGTTTTGGGAATGTTGCTGAGATCACAGATTAAACAATGTTCTCAATAAAACATTAGCACAATATCTCATAATAACAGAGGAGGAACATTATTAAATCAACGTTCGCAAAATGTTTTGAGGATATTATTTAGGCCTGAGATGATGGAATGTTTTTATAAAACATTCTTGTAATGCGACGTGTTAACAAAACTAGAACATTGTCACTGTAACATGTTGAGGATGTTTTGGGAATGTTGTTGAGATAACAGATATTGGAATGTTATCAATAAAACATTGGTACAATGTCCCTTAAAAACAAAGGAGGAACATTATCAAATCAACGCTCGCAAAATGTTATGAGGATATCATTGAGTCCTGAGATGACTGAATGTTTTTTATAAAACATTCTTGTAATGCGACGTGTTAAGAAAACTAGAACGTTTTAAATTTAACATTTTGAGGATGTTGATGAGGTAAAGGTTTGTAGAATGATCTCTTATAAAACATGGAAACAATGTTCCATAATAACAGAGGAGGAACATTATCAGGTTAACGTTCGCAAAATGTTCTGAGGATATTATTTAGTCCTGAGATGATGGAATGTTTTTATAAAATGTTCTTGTAATGTGACATGTTAACAAAACTAGAACATTTTTACTGTAACATGTTGAGGATGTTTTGGGAATGTTGTTGAGATAACAGATATTACAATGTTCTCAATAAAACATTGGTACAATGTCCCATAAAAACATAGGAATAACATTATCAAATCAACACTCGCAAATGTTATGAGGATATCATTGAGGCCTGAGTTGATGGAATGTTTTTTATAAAACGTTCTTGTAATGTGACGTGTTTAACAAAACTAGAACGTTTTAAATTTAACATTTTGAGGATGTTGATGAGGTAAAGGTTTATAGAATGATCTCTTATAAAACATGGAAACAATGTTCCATAATAACAGAGGAGGAACATTATCAGGTTAACGTTCGCAAAATGTTTTGAGGATATTATTTAGTCCTGAGATGATGGAATGTTTTTTATAAAATGTTCTTGTAATGTGACGTGTTAACAAAACTAGAACATTTTCACTGTAACATGTTGAGGATGTTTTGGGAATTTTGTTG